GTGGATAACTGGGGGGGGGGCTACCATATACATACATACGTGATCACCATGTTTCCAGTGGACACATGACACCTGCCATTCAGTGTCTGCGGACGGTGCCAAGTGGGAGCCAAAAGTATACATACGTAGCATTGCATTACTTATGCAAAAAATCGACGCTTTCATGCATGCATGCAAACATACATACTCACATAGACATGTATGTAGGCATACATTCATACAGACACACATGCATACATAGATGCACACTTGCGTGCCAATCTACATGCCTACCTGCCTGCCTGCCTGCCTGCCTGCCTGCCTGCCTGCCTGACCTACCTAGCTACCTACCTACCTGCCTACCTGCCTGCCTGCCTACCTACCTACCGACCGACCGACCGACCCACCGACCCACCGACCCACCGACCAACCGACCTACCTACCTACCTACCTAGATATAAACACTGCCTCGAACACGGTCATGCTTTTTGTTGAAGCACTTCTTCCCGTAACGAGAAGCAAGTCTACCATCGAGAAATGGTTGCTTGGAGCGCTACCGCCTCACTGGTTTGCCGTACACCTTTGGATGGAGCTGTGAGGCTTTCGTAAGCAACAGACCGGCAGCCACAAACAACAAGTGCATGCACTTGTTTTGAGACTGAGCTTAAACCCTAAACACCTAACTAAACCTTAGGAAATAGAACCCCGAATTAAGACTCAGGCAAGAGGCTTTTGCCCGGGCGACGCCCATCGACTCAGAGCCTTCAGCCACCAGGGCGGAGGTCGGAGTGAGGGTTGAGGATTTAGGGTTCGGTTCTGTCGCTGTCGTCATCTGCTCTCGTCGTCAATGTCGATTTGGTCGCGGTTGTTGTTGGTGGCGGTGTCGTTGCGGTGGTGCTGGTGACAGGCGATTTTATTGTTGCGGTCGCAGTCCTGAGTCCTTACATTGTCGTCGGCGACATTGTTCGTTTCTGTCATTGCTGTTGGTGATGCTGTTCTCCTTGCTGCTGCTGTGTCCCAACAATTAGCCTGGCTAGATTCTGCAAGATAGCGTGGCTGTCGGGTTGAAGTTTGGGTTAAGGCAGCCAATGTCAGCAAGTTCACCCGAAATTCTTGAGCTCCTGGACTGTTCCAGCCGCCAGGAGCTGAGCTGAACGTGGGCATGTCTCGCCCTGGCCGCTTCCGGTTTACGCTTTAGACCCTTTAGGCTAGTAAAAGTGGTAGTCGCAGTCATGGTCGTGGGGCTGGTGGCAGTGGTCGTAGCGTAGCACGAGTCGTCATCGAAGTAGTCGTGGTGGTGCTTGTGGCGGTGCAGAAGAAGTCGTAGTACTGGTAGTAGTAGAAGGGACAGGTGTAGGAGCAGCCGCAGAAGTAGTTCGAAGAAGACGGCGTCGTTTGCTTGTTGCCGTCGTCGTAATTAGCAGCAGCAGCAGCAGCAGTAGCGGTATATAAGTAGTGAAACCTTAAACCCTAAACCCTAAACCCCTAAACCCCTAAACCCAGACATCT